AGCTGTAAAAGGGAAAACAAATTCCCCTAAAATGAATCTGGACCTCATTTCTGACATTAACTGTGTAGGTCTCTGGCTATATCATCCATAGAAATGAGATTTCAATAGTAAAATCCTGCAGGCATATAATTGCTTCACAACACCTAGACTGTTTCCTGCTGTACATAAGAGGTTAGGGTTACATTGTCCATGCTAAAGTTTTGAATATTGCTCTGATTTCTTTTTGTGCTGTGGTTGGATTGGTTCCCTGGCACATCCAAATCTAATGGCTTCAATACTTTGCATACTTGCTCTGGATTAGTGATTTGGATGAAGATTTCTGACTTGTAGGATACTTGTTCCAGGTCAGGAACGTGGCATGTATTTAAGTCAGGGAATTGGCATGAATGACAAGCAACTAGTATTACCATAGTGAGGTAAGCCGCTGCTGTTTTCCTGTTCAGTGACTGTGTTTCAATGACTATTAAGGACACTGTCATTGGACTGGGGGATTCTCATTGGACTGGATAATCTAAGCTTTAGTAACAAAGTGAAACCAGTTTTAAAGCGAGGCAGTTGGGTTGGAGGACTTTTTTTTTTTCCTTCCTAAGAAAGGGTAACAGCTGTTTTGTTGTGTCTGATTTCATGCAAATCTTTTACTTTTAGCCCCTATTCACACTTCTATAGCATGAAACCACACGTCACATTTGTCATGCAAAAGGAAGCTCATTTATTTTGAACGTGCTGTCCTACACGTGCGGCAAAGAGACTCATACACCTTTTTTGGACCCTAAACTTTTGGAAGTTAAACGATGTGATTTGTTGTTGTTTTTTTTTTTGTTTTTTTTTTGTTTTTTTGCATGTTTCTGTCATAACATCTTGCTTTTGTGGGATTTTTGTACTTTCACATGTTACACAAGTGTGCATGGGAGCTGACTGGTTCACTTTGATTCTGCTCAGTGGTTTCAATATTAATGTTTTCACTTCAAGGTTTTTTTCTTCCCTTTGACTCCAGGGAATGCATGTGCTTTTCTTTTAGTATAAATGTTATGTACTCTTGTTTTAATACTTATTTTTTGTTGTTGTTGTAGCCCAGATGACTGGCAGTTCTATCTTTCTTACTTTGACTCAGTGCAGTACCTTGTTGATGATTCATGGACTCCTCCAGTAGAGAGCCCAATGTAAGTTTTTTTTTTTTTTTTTTTTTTGTGCCTTTTTTTTTTTTTTAATTCTCTTCTTCCCTAAAAAGGACTTGACCTCAAAAGTTTAGGTCTGCTGGAAGGGTATTAAACCATGTCTGTAATAAGTATTTCCTACTGCGCTCTGGTTCTGGGTCATGCAACCAAAAAAGCTGTCCTTATGACACGGGGCCTGCAGTATCTCTGAAAATCTGGGTGCAAACATCAAGATGGTCTTCATTTTAGTAAAAGCGGTTGATGATGGCGAACCGTTAATAGATGGCAGTATTTCAAATCACATGACCCACTACCATAGTAGTGGGTCATGTGCTTAATATCACTGATAATCAGTAGTGGGTCATGAACCGCTTAATATCGCTGATTAAGTTTATAACTAAATCCATAGCTTTATTCACCCTGTGCTTGCTTAAAACTCCTTGATTTTTCTGTTTAAGAAATAATTAAAATAGGAGGTGAAAAACTAGGCATTGGTCCCTGCTCAAGGGAAGTGACCGTTTAATTTTCAGGCAAAAACATTAAAGTTAGCTGTCATTAGAAATATTTGTAGACTGCCTTTTGACCACCTGAAAGTGCTCGTTGCCTGGCTTTCTCTGGCATCAGAGCAAGCTGGACTCTAGACTCAGAACAAGCATGCAGTAAATGAGTCAGAGGAGAGTGCATTTCAAATCTCCTATACTTATTCAAGTCACGGAATTAAAATATTGTAATTAAAGCATCATGACAGCAAGGCAACTTGTATTTTCAGGAGAGCCTACATATTTTTCTCTTTGCAATTTTACTTTGATGTGGTGACTTGATCTGTATAGGTCATTTTCTTTGGGATAGACTGTGATCAATGCCTAAGCTTTTGGTCCTGCCACCAGAGGGAGCCTGGAGCCCACATTTGTGCAGGAGGGTTATGTTACTTCCTCAACTATTTCTGAGCATTACTTATCTAAATTGTAAAAATGATGCTTTTTAGGTGACTGTAGGCCCACTTTAAGGTCAGACCTACATATTAGAGGTTTGGACTGCTTTAACGGTAACAGTTGGATTAAGCAATGGTGCATTTCCCTAGGTCAGCGGAAGGAGACTTGGATCACACCTTAGAGCAGGCGGTCAGGTTTGTGGAAGGTCAGATAGAGGGAGATTCTAATAATCCACGGCCACTCAGAGGACCACATCTAGCCAAGCTTGAACTGATTCAACGTCTAAGAAGCAGAGGGTGTAACGATGAGTACAAGCTGGGTAAGTGAACGGGCTGTTATTGGGCAGTATGGTTTTTATCCGACAAAACCAGAACCAAACATTGTGTGTGGCTTGTGTTCTGTAGCTCGTATATTACTGTCTCAAATTTACCGTTGTTTTGTCAAAATCGTAGCTTGGTTCACTTACTTTTTACCTTGGCTACTATGGGAATTATTTATTTCTGCCATTCGCAGCACGTTAATGCCATTTAAAGTGGACCTTTACCAATATCTTCAAAATAACAACAGGCACCCCTTTAGAAATGTTTAGTAATGACAATCTACAAACACATTCTTCTAGATAATTGCCGGCTTCTTATTCTTTTGCATACCTTTTTTATTTCTCTTTTCTTTCCCAGTTTTCTGACAGTGGCCATGTTTACTAAGGGCAGATCACTAGCTTTCCATTACTTCCTTGATTTCTGCCACATGTGACTAGACATGTGACTAGACACATCATCTCAGGGGAGGAAAATGCCTTTCCTTGAGATCTCATAAAATTACAGATGAGATTTCCCAGCAATGCTCTGCTGATGACAAGGCAATCCCAGCGTGCATTGCTTTGGCAAACCTGAAATCTTTTTGCCTTTTCAAAGCAGGAAGTGAATGCTCTGCAAGTGTAAGTATTTCAAAGTCACAGCATTTTACACGTGACATGTCTGTTATTATTAATCATCATGCGCCCCCAGAATTCCCATTTACTGGACCATTTTTAAAAATTATTATATTATAATTTCTTATAATTATAATTTTATTATACATTTTTTAATTTCGTGTTTCAAACTTTATCATACCCGGGATGTCTACTGGACTCTTGTTTGGACAGATTTAGGTGAGTTATTCCTAGGATTTACTAAGAACTACAGGCCTACAATGTAAAACAACATATTTGCTTGAAAAACAATGTACCGCTTTTGGTACCTAAAATCCTGAATAATCATACCGCCAGGGAGGTTAATCAAGCTTAGGAATCTCCTTGGCTCCATCTAGTGGCAGTTCTCAGCTGCAAATATCGTTTGCACAGCTATACGCTGTGGGAACATGTTTTAAATTCGTCCCTATGAATTCCAAACACATAACCCTATTGTCCAATATTTCTTGCTGTACCTGAACATCTGTAGAGCTGTACATGATCTAAACAGAGTATTAGCAGGGTCACCTTTTTCTGTCTTTCGTGGGTTTTTTTTAATACAACAAATAATTTAGCAGCACTGGGTCTTCTCTGTTGTCTCCAGAATCCCTGAAGTCATACCCCCCAAGGTTTTGAATTGGTGTCAAGCATGCTTAACAAGATGAGCAATACAGCCTCTTCCCCCATAACCTCTCATAGCCTGCACAACCTTTTAATATTAAAGCTTATTAGAGCTTTGAGACTGAAATGTTTTTTTTTATTTATTTTTTTAGGAGAGCCTGAAGATCTGATGTTCCAGTATTTCCTTAAGTTTGGAGACAAACCTTGCTGCTTTACCGATCTTAAAGTTTTTGTGGATCTTCTCAGTCCAGCTCAACGTTCAAGTGTAGGTTTCATGTTCACAATTTCCGATATGTTTTAAATAAAAAATGTTTCGTACATCGTTGCATGTAGTAATGTTAATATTGATGAGAATAATCCAAGACTAAAATTGAATTTGCATTGGCCATGCTAATAACACTCACAAATTTATTTTAATGGAAACATTTTTTTTTTGGTGTGTAGTTGATAAACAGACTGCTGGGCTCGTTACCTCTGACCCCTTCAGCAGAAGGAGATCTTGCACTGCCAGAGGACATCAAGGCCATGCAGAGGCACCTATGTGTGATTCAACTTAGCAGACTACTAGGACTCCAGGAAAAGATGGACAGAGCACAGAAGCAGGAAGCAGTTGGAGAAATCATCGTAAGATACAGACATGGACTGCAGTTTGGTAGGTTTATCCTGTGGCTTAACAGGAGGCTTTTGTGTACATAGACGGGACAGGACAGTCAGCACTGGTGCTGGATGGGTGTTCTGATTGCATCCTGGCTAATTGGATGCTGTAACTTTTTAAGAGCTGTGCATAACCTAGGAGGTTTGGCGCATTCCAATTAACATCTTTAATCTCTGTTTTTAGTCGGGTGTATCTGTTGTGCAAGAATCGCATTGCGTTACTCGAAGGAGCAGTAAGGATGGCTTAACACCTAGCTGCAATTGCCTTTAAAACATACAATTGCTTTTTGGGGATGGAACCGTTTGATTGTTGGTAGCCTTGCTCTGTTTTGTAAATTTATGTTCTTAAAAAACTGGATATAACCACTTGCGTTCCCGGGGCTTTTTGTCTACCTCAATACTCTCAAATCCTAGTGTTTTCGTTTTTGTTTTGTCTTGTTTTTTTTAGCAGCGATGTTTTTGTTTCACACTCCCCCCTATCTTTTAGGTTTTGTAGTTTTACCCTAACTTACAATGTTTTTTCTTTTCTTTTGCAGACCAGGTAGGTATTTAATTTGGTAGCAAATTTGGATGGGTTTATTTAAATGTTTGCTTTTCTTTTTAGTGGGGATATACCAATACGAGTATCGGTGCCGATGGCGAGTATTTGGGCCAGTGCTCGTACTCGCCCAAATGCTCCAATGCCTAGCCCGATACTTCCGGTGTCAGGAAGCCGGGCAGCGTGTCATTACACGCTGCCCGGCTTCTTGATTGGCTTCCTGGTCCAATCAGCATTGAGCTAGCTTCCCGGCTAATAAGGAAGGTGTGAGGTGGATCATTACCCGCGCACCGGCTTCCTGATTAGCCGGGAAGCCAGCTCCATGCTGCTGGCTGGGAAGCCGGCTT